TACCTCTGGGGCTTTGCAGGGATCTTTCTGAAATTTATTCTTTTTTGTGGCTGAGTAGTATTCTACTCTATGACTCTGTATCCATACATGGGTCATTTATCCCTTCACTAGTCGGTTGATATTTGGGTGGCTTCCAGCTGATGACTAGGACAAGTCCTGCTGCAATGGTCATCCATGTACACATCGTTATGTGGACATATGTTTTCATTTCTCTGGGGTAGACACCCCGGATGGGAATTGCTGGAGCGAATGATAAGGACATGTTTAGCTATGGAAGAAATTGCCAAACGTCTTCCAAAGTGGTTGTACCATTTTGCATGGCCACCAGTAGTGTTCCTGTGTCCCACCACCTCCTGGCAATTGCTTGTTTTTTTATCTTCTACCTTTGTTATTGGTTGCATTACGCCTTTAAGATTTGGTTTATGTCACTATGTGGACATCTGCTCTGTTGCTTTTGACTGCTGCGTAGTCCTCCATCGTGGGAAAGCACTCTCACATTAGCGCGTGATCAGGTCCCTCACCTCCCTCCCACGAGTGTCCTCTCTTCTCTCTCTTTGTCCTTCCTTCTTCCTCCCTCCTTCCCTACCTTCTTCCTTTCTTTCTTTTTCTATTTCTTCCTTTTCTCCCCCTCTTCTCTATCTCTTCCTCCCTCCCTTCCTCTGTCTTCCCTTTCTCTTTCTTTTTCCTCTCTCCCTCCTCTCCCCTCCTCTCCCTCCTCTCCCCTCCCTTCCTCTCCCTTTCCTTCCTCCCTCCCTTCCTTCCTTCCTTCCTTCCTTCCTTCCTTCCTTCCTTCCTTCCTTCCTTCCTCCCTCTCTCTCTGTCTCTTTATTTCTCTCTCTCTCACTCTCTCTCCTTTCTTTCCTTCCTTTCTCTCCATCTCACACACAGCCCAGGCTGCCCTGGCTGCACCTCCTGAGCTCTGGGATTACAGGAGTATCCTACCCTGCCTGGCTCCTCTCACTTCCAGCACAGCTGGTAACTTGGTGACAGAACCTCTTACCTCTCCCCTGTGGTCTGCGTGACCATTGCCCTTGGGCAGACATGGGGAAGTGGGCTGCAGAGTCCTAGGGCGAACATACACAGACACTTCGCTTATGCGGGAGTACATCCCAATGAACCCCACGTGGGCTAGAGACACTGCATCGTAGCTGAGTGTCCAGTCAGGTGTCAGTTTCCCCTGGAGATTGTGGGATGGACTGGGAGGTACCCCTGCCCAACACTGTGGGATGAAATCTTACTTGGGAAATGATCAGCATTTAAAATTTGCAGTCCAAACCAGGCATGGAGTTTCATGCCTGTAATCCCAGCCCTCAGGAGGTAAAAGCAGGAGGATCTTGAGTTTGAGGCCAGCCTGGGCTACAAAGTGAGATCCTGTTTCAAAAAAACCAAACAACCAAACAACAAAAAACAAACAAAACTCCCAACGTGTATAAAAAAACCCACCTAATAAATACAAAATAAGCTACTACTTATATTTGCATTTCTTACATAACTAACGAGCCACGCATCTTTTTTGTGTGACTTTTTGTGTTTCCTTCTCTATAAATCTGTATTCTTCGCTTTTTTCCTTTATTTACAAGGTTCCCATATCTGATACAGTGATCCTACAATAATAGCTCTCAAGACTGCAATACGGTCCAACCAGGCTGTCACTCACCAATTTAGTTTGTGCATGGTGTCTTTTTGTTAAACAGAAATCCTTAAGTTTGATCATAATCAAGTTAAACAGTTCTTTACCCTTGTTTGTTTTGTCCTTTTCCTGGCCTGTGTGGTGTCAAGTTTTCTACTTTATTTTTTGGCATTTCTGGGGTTTGAACTCAGGGCCTCACACTTGCTAGGCAGGTGCTCTACTGCTTGAGCCACTCTGCCTGCTTTTTCACTTTGATTGTTTTTGAGACCAGGTCTCACTTTAGGCCCAGGCTGGCTCAGATCATGATTCTCCCCCATGTAGCTGGGATGACTGGGGTGACAGGTGTACGCCACTGAGCCCAGCTATTGGCTGAGATGGGGTCTTGATAACTTTTTCCCGGGCTGGCCTTGCACATGATCCTCCTGCTCTCTGCCTCCCAAGTAGTTAGGATTACAGGTGCAAACTACCATGCTCAGTATTTTTTTTGAAACAGGGTCTCACTTTGTGGCCCAGGCTGGGATTACAGGTGTGCACTACACACACCCAGCTAGCTTTTCTATATTTTTGTGCTTTTCTTTTCTGAAATGCTTGTACTGCCCTCACGTGCAAGAACATTTCAACATGCCTCACAGAAAAACACCTCTTTGCTTCCTCTGGCTGAGTGACAGTGCCTTGAACTGTGAGTTCAATCTGAGTGAAAGTGCTCTGTGTTAAATAAGGCATCTTTCAACAAAAACACACATAAAACACATATTCAGTCAGTTAACAGAAACATTGTGGCTTGCAGGAACTTAGCCCTATACTTCCCTCTTGACCAATTACTCAACATTTGCTAATTTAGTGCTCATGGTGACATTGTAGAACATAGCTTCTGTGAATAACGAGAGCCAATTGTATTGCTAACTTTATTTTCTGAGACAGAGACTCACTATGTAGGCTAACCTTGAACTCGTGATCCTCCTGCCTCAGCCTCCCATGAGTGCTGGGGTTACAGGTTTGCACCACCATGCCTGACCACAGGATCTTTTAAATGATACAAATAGGTCTGGGGCAGGGGACAGGCAGGGTGAGGCCAGAGGCTCCTGCCCCTGTGGAGGGGCTGTGCCCCCACCCCGCACCTGTGTTTTTGGTCACCTCACTGGGGTCTCCACACCCTCATCTCCCTGCAAACTCTCTGAACTCAGTCTTGTTGAGTTTTTCATTCTGTAGGTGGGACTAATTTAACTTTGACCTTTTGGTGACCAAATTGTCCTTCAATCCCTCTCTCACCACTGGAATTTCAGCCTTGGATCGGGTGGCTGGTTCTCCCCCAATCTGGTTTTCTTGGGACTTTCCAACAGTCATCTTATCAATGTAGTTAATAGCATAATTAACATATTTGATGAGCTTGTTGTGAAGAAGACTATCTTTTATCTTTATGTCTAGGAATTGATTGGAGGGTTGCTTCATAAACCAAGGGCAAAAGGCCAAATGCTCTAAGAAAAGATTTTTGTAGGTGCTTGAGCTGTGGCCCTCCTTCCCCAACTCTTTTTTTGCTTTGTCTGGGGCCTGCCTTGGACCGAGACCCTCCTATCTATGCCTCCTCATAGCTGGGACCACATGCCCGGCATGTTGGTTGAGATGAGGTCTCTAACTTTTTGCTCCGCTGGCCTTGAACCGCCATCTTCCTCACTTCTGTCTCTGAGTAGCTGGGATCACAGGATTGGGACATACCATGCCTGGTCCAGGAAAAGATATTATTCTAGTCACTTAGGAAATAACACAGTGACAGGAGCTGTAAATCATGGAGGAAAACAAACAAATAAAAATATATTCGGGGCATTGTGTTACACAGCTGCAATCCCAGCACTTGGCAAAGGCTGAGGCAGGGGGATTTTGAGTTCAAATCCAGCCTGGGATTTGTAACAAGAGCTGTCCTTGGTGGTGATGTTTGAGTATTTGTATTTATCTTATCTTTGTTGCTGTAAATTATGAGTCCATTTCACAGGTGAGAAAGCAAAGAGCTAGGCAGGGTGGCACACGCCTGTAATTCCGCAGCCAGGAAGCTGAGGTAGGAGGATCGTGAGTACGAGGCCAGCCTGGGCTACATAGCAAGACCCTGTCTTAAAGAAGACAAAAAAGAAAGCAAAGAGACTCTGAGTTTTATGACTTTTTTCAAAGCAGGGACTTGCACTAAGTAGACTCTAGTGTGTGGGTTACAGTTGGGGGTCCTTGGCAAAGATGTAAAAGCAAGGGACATTGAACAAGGAGGCTGGAGGCTCGTGGGAGAGGGAGAGGACAGGGTATGTGGTGGACCATATGGTTCAGTATGAAGGCCCTTTGGGAGATCAGAGTGCCAATGACTATTAGTGGGATGGGAGTCCAAGAGCACTTTCTAGAGAGAGAGAGAAAAAAAAGAGGGAGAAGGAGGGAGAGAGGGAGGAAGGAAAGGAAGGGAGAAAGAGAGAGGGAGGGAAAGAAGGAGGGAGGGAGGAAGAGAGAGACCTACCATCTTGGAAAACAACCTACCATCTTGGAAAAAGCTCACCTCCCAAGGAAAAGAACTCCTATTCTTTAAAATAAATATGAATTTGTAAATATTCACACCCCTCAATACACACCCACAACAGCTGTTGGTCTTTCTATGGTTGTACAGCTGGAGTTTCCTGTGGTTGTGTTGGTAGAAAGGCATCGTAGAGCTGGGTGTGTCTGTGGCTCAGGAGGAGAGCATTCGCCTAGAATATGTGAGAGGTCCTGGGTTGCATCCCCAGTACCAAGAAGAAGGGAGGAGAGGAGGGGAGAGAGGGGGAGAGGGAGAGAGAAAGGGAAAGGGACAGAGGGAGGGAGGGAGAGAGAAAGGGAGAAAGGGACAGAGGGAGGGAGGGAGAGAGAAAGGGAGAAAGGGACAGAGGGAGGGAGGGAGGGAGAGAGAGAGACTGAGAGAGAGAGTTGGGCATTGCAGAACGTGGGGTCTAGGTTGGGTCCAGGCATCTGTGGGATCCAGAATAGTGTGACAGTGCCTCATTCTGAGGACCTAGAGTTGCAAAACATAGTGGGGCCTGGAATACTGGTACTGGCAAACACTCGGAGCATCCATTTGTAGACGCGATATTGGTCCATGGGGTGGAAAGTGTTAGCTACAGACAGAAAATGCAGGTGCTCATCTGGGTTTATGGAGTCCATGATGACTCAGGTGGGGACATTCAAGTCATCAGGGTGTTTCAGGGAAGCCACAAGGCTGACATGGGATGGGATGAGGCTGAGACTGCACACAGTGAGACCACAGCTCACCGTTCCAATGGGACACTTCGGGTGGAAGGGTAGAGAAGAGCTAAGCAGACTGGGAGGAGGGCACGGCGGGGAGGGAGCGAGGCAGCAAGTCAACCAGGTTTTATTGTGCGCCCTTTCTCCATCTCTCCTCCTGGGGTTCGTGTTTCCTTATTGTCTCGAGGATCCACTGGACGTATTTGGAGACTCGGGTGTAGACACCAGGCCGGTTGGGCTGCCCACATGGGAAATCTCCCCAGGAAATGATGCCATACAATGTGTGGTTGCAGACCAGAGGGCCTCCAGAGTCGCCCTGGGTTGAGGGGGGAGAGAGAGAGAGATGGGGTCCTTGCTACAGCTGAACCAAGGCAGAGAAGGGGAGACCAGGGGGCGGGGTGGAGAGTGGAAGATGGAGAGACATGCACAGACAGAAAATCAGAGGCAGACACAGAGACAGTGAAAAAGACACAAAGAGAGACTGAAAGGAGAGAGAGAGAGAGAGAGAGAGAGAGAGAGAGAGAGGAGAGAAGGAGGAGGAGAAGGAGAAAGAGAAGAAGAAGGGAGGGGAAAGAGGGAGGGAGAAAGAGAGGGAGAAGGAGAGGCAGGGAGGAGAGAGAGAGAGAGACAGAGAGAGAGAGAGAGAGACAGAGAGAGAGATCCATGTTTCTCCATTCCTTACTTTTGTTAAAAGAGGCCAAGTCTTATATCATCTTGCTTCCCTAATACCAAATCCCAACCCCTCATGAGCCCCCAAACCCCTCATGAGCGAACCCTGCTCTGTCACAGGGTCCTTTGGGCCACCTTCCTGCTTACTGAGTTAACACATTTATCCAGGCAGGGAAGGTGATACACAAGCACATTCATGTGACCCCTTGGCCCAAGCAGACATCACCAGTCAAGCAAGGCAACATTCATTCAGGGTCACACTCTCTCACAGAACCAAAGCTCAGTCTCAGAAGCCTCTCTGTTGGACATCATTGGATACAGGTTGTCTTTTAAATCCACGTTCTCCTGATTTTTTTATTTGGAGAACCACCCTTGCTCACTCTCAATCTGTGCAGTTGATCCCACATTTAGTCAGGTGACTCAGAGATTCCCACAGCTCACACCAGAGTGGTGGCTTAGGGCACATGACTTAAGTCACCTAAGTGAGAATCATACCCAAGACATTTGTGTAAACTATTGGAAACAAGGTGTTCCCCTTCCAAAAACGTTGCTTAGAGCTGCGGGGGCCATCTTGCCCTTGCATAGGGAGAGCCTAGTTGAGAATGAAGCCCAAATGGAAGAGAAAAGTTACAGAGACAGAGTTCCCAAAGCATGAGCTGCACACCTGGATGTATCTGTGCCTGAAGCTATCACCTCTAGATTTTCAATGATAAAAGCCAGCTTTTGGGGTTTTGGTTTTTTCTCTTAAGCCAGTTTGAGTTGGGTTTTTGTCACTTGCCACTCAAAAGAATGCCATCCCAACTGTCAAGCTCTCAATATTGGAACCTGAGAAGTCACTTGCTCAAAGCTGAAGGTGAAGAGGAGTCTACTTGACATCTCTGGGCACCAGGACACCAACCTTACAAAGACTGGTTCCCCCAAGGCTGAAAGCAAGTACTTTCCCCCCACCCCAGAGTCACCATCCCCACCTAGGCATGGCCCACCTCCCAGCTCACCTCGCAGGAGTCCTTTCCGCCCTCCTTGGTGCCTGCACACAGCATGTTGGCAGTGATCTTCCCCGGGTAGACCTCACGACACTCTTCATCCGAGCGCAGTTCGATGTTGGCACACTGCAGGGTTTGGGGGTAGCTCACTGGGGAAGAGAGAGAAGGTCCTGGGCGGGCTATAGGGTGGAGTTCATAAGGAGAGTGTTGGGAGAAGGAGTTGGTGGGAAGATGGGATGGGAGAGGATCATGGGGGGAGGAGATAGGATGGGGGATGGAAGAGGCAGAAATATGGAGAGGGGGAGGGAAGATGAGAAAAGAGGAGGGAGGAACAGAGACTGGGGGCAGGGGACTGGGAGGTGGACAAGGTCAGCAGGGAGCCAGCCATGGGGACAGAGGCTGGACAGAGGGACAGGGATGGTGAGAGGGAGAAATGGAGCTGGGAAGAGAGGGGGAGAGCCAGAAAGACAGATCAGGAGAGAGATGGGCATGTGGGGTGGGGGGGGCTGGGGTTGCAGGATGGAGGTGCACAGGCCCTGTCCATGTTGTATATTACAAAGGACAGGCTTACTTACACATGGCTACATTTAATAAATATGTGCTTATCAATATATGAATGTAGTTGTAAATTACCAATATATAATGATATATAAGTGTAGTGACACTGATAGTTATAATTCAAATGTATTATAAACTATTAAGTATATTTATATGTGCAAATGTAGTATGTACAGTATATTTTATAATATGTGTAAATATAAATAAATATGTGTAACATGTGAATATAAATGTATAATTATTATGCATTATAGTATGACATAATCTGTAAATATGTAGATTTATAAATTATGGATGTATTTAATATATAAATGATGAGTACATATAAATACCTATTTATAGTGTGAATTATATTTAAATATGTAAGTTGTAATTTGTAAAACATTTAATCTATATAATTTGTAATAACAACAAAAACACATTTACATTTATGTATTACTGTATATTAATCTATATTTTTTTTGTAAAATATATATTATGCATTCAAATATGTAATTTGGTTTTAGATAGCATATAGGAAAGGAGGGTCTCATATATAATATTATCTAATATGATCATGTTATAATTATTAATAAATGTATAAATTTCTATATATTTATAAAGAACTTATATGTCCCATTGTATATATGTATATATATTTATATCTTTACATATGGAGGGATTCTCCTCCGACCCCCCTCCCACCGCTGCTTATCAAGATATGAATGTAGTTGTAAATTACAAATAAATATATAATGATATATAAGTGTAGTTACATTGACAGTTATAATTCACATGTATTATACACCATTAAGTATATTTTCCCAGCACGAGTGTGGATGCGTACCCTGGGGGCTGGTGGTGGTGCCCCAGCCAGACACCCGACAGCAGGTGCCTGGCGGCAGGCAGTCCTCCTGGGAAAGGGGCAGGATGCGGACGTGGCCAGTGATCTGGACCGGGGACTTCAGCTCCAGAAGCATGATGTCGTGGTTGTGGTTCAGGTGGGTGGGGCTGACCTGATATTCCGGGTGGGGGACAGAGCGGACCACCTCCCTCACCTGCTCACCGGTCTCCATGCGCCCCAGAGCATGTTTGCCCAGGTAAATGGTGTACCCACTGTGGGTGCAGCAAGGGGACAGTATAAGCTCTTTCCATCCCCATCCCAGCCCCATTCCTTCCTCAGTCTAACTTCTTCCCATCCCACCTGCCTTATCTCCAAACACAACTCATCCCCCTTCTCACCCCCAACCCATCCAAATCCTCTACTTTGAGTTTGTTCCCAGATCTCCATCCCAAACCTCTTTCTTATCCCCCATGCTCACACTCCGCCTTAAATCCAACCTCATCCAAAACCCAATAGCTCCCCACCTGTAGCCCTGTCCCATTCTCATCCCTACCCCATCTCCTGGGCCCCACATACTCTTTCATACAGTGCGCTGCAGTAAGGACCCATCTGGGGTGGACCAGGACTCCCCCACAGAGCAGCCGTCCTCGCACTAGTAGGGCTGCCTGCCAGGGTTGAGAGTGGGGGAGGCAGGTGTAGCCGCCCGGGAGAAATCCACTGGTGCTATTGGTGCCATTGAGAATCTTGGGATAGTCCCGGGAGATGCCTAGTGAGGAAGAGGAATGGTTAGAGAATTGGGGTCCAGAGTCGGGAGGAAGTGGTTCTGGCCTTAGGAAGAGGATCAGATTTTTGCTCTGGGTGACCAGGAATTGATGATTCATTTGCAGGCCTCTTGGAGTTGCCATGTTCCTATGCAGTGGAGAGAGTCAGGGCAAATATTTCTTCTTTTCTATAGATGGGCCAAACTGGCCAATGGGGACTGAGGGCAGAGTCCAGAGAAGGAGGATCTCTCTTACAGTAAGTGGAAGTCTGACTTTCTCTCTACCTGCATCTTCTTTTCATTCCACCATGAGGGTGGATTTTGGGAAGTGAGAGCGAGACTGACCTACATGTACATCTAGGCACCATCCATCCATCTGTATACCCATTCACCCATTCACCCATTCACCCACTCTTATCCATCCATCCATCTATATATCCATCCATCATCCATCCATCCATTCATGCATCCATCCACCCATTCACCCATCCATCCATCTACTCACCCACTCACCCATCCATCCATCCATCCAACCATCCGTCTGTCTATCCATCCATTCATGGATCATCCATCCATCCATCATCCATCCATTCATGCATCCACCCACTCATTCATTCATCCATTACACATTCATCTGCCCATTCACCCATATATGCATCCATCCATCTATGCACCCATCCATCCACCTATCATCAATCCATCCTTTCAACACATATTTACTGGGTGCCTCTTATGACCTTAAATACCACCCAGAATCTTAATACTTCCAGATTCACATCTCTATCTCTGAACTCTAGCTGGAGACTCAAATATTGCCAATTTGAATGCCTGACACACGTCTTAATCTTTGTATCTTCAACTTGATTTTTCTCAACCAAAACTGTCCCTTCCAATCTTTCCAATCTTGATGCTCAGCCCCAAACTTAGAAGATCTTCGCTTCCCCTCTTTTTTTCATTATTCATGACCAAAAAGTCCCATTGGTTTTATCCCCTAAATATCCAGTTCTTCCCAGCTCTGGGTACCATCTTGGTCCAAGTCTTGCCCGAGTGATCACAACAGAATCCTAAATCCTTATACATTGAATCCCTCCAATCTAGTCTTCTCAAAGCAGACTGAAGAATCTTCAAATCAGACCACGTGATTCCCAGGCTTACCTAACCTTTAAATAAAATTCAAAAGGCTGCTACCTCACCTGGCAGCCTCTTTGGCCACATCCCTATGGCTCTCCTTTGGCTCACTCTGTTCCAGCCACAGGCACCTGTTCTTCAAACACTCCAAACCCTTTGTACCTGCTGCTTCCTCTTTCTGGATAGCTCTTTCTCCAGACCTGTGTTTTTCAACATGGTAGCCACTAGCTAAATGTGAATCTTTAAATTAGTTACAATGAAATCAAATAAAAGCCTCAGATCTTCAGTAATGACAGCACATTTCAAGTGGCTGTCATACTTGGAAGTGCAGATAGGGGACCTGTAAATAGTCTACCAGATGCTCTCAGAATCCAGAAGTCACCTGTCTAGGTTCTCTCTCGATGCTGAGAGCTCAGTTCAAGTGTCACTTCTTCTCAGGTCACATGGTCTACTCTCACCCCCTTCCTGGACCCCAAGCATTCTCCCAGCTGATTTCCATTGGATCAAAGGTCACTATTCATTTCTCTTCATACTGTTTGCACTTATGTTTCTTTTCTTTCTTCTAAAATCTCCCCACCTGGACTGTAAGCCCCACTGACGACAGGCATCTTAATTCCTGTACTTAAAGCCCCATCCCTGGGGTTTACTGGAGTCCCTGGCACACACCAGGTGCTCAATAAATGACCTGTGTGTGGCACTGTGCCTGACAATGAAGGCACAGTGTGGAGCAGTGCGGCAGTCTTTCCTACCATGCAACATCATACAAGTTACTAGCCTCAGTTTCCCCAGATTTCAAGTAAGAAAAGTACAGTCATCCCTTGGGATCTGTGGGAGAGTAGTTCCAGGACCTCCAAAGATACCGAAATGCAGGGATGCTCAAGTCCGTTGTATAAAATGGCATAGTATTTCCTATAACCTTTGTACATCTTCCTTCAAGCATAAATCACCTCTGGATGATTTATAATACCTAATAAAATGCAAATGCTATGTAAATGGTTGTTATATCATATTGTTTAGGGAATAGTGCCAAGGAAAAAACAGTCTTGACATGTTCAGTACTGATGCAATTATTTTCCTAAGTATTTTTGAGCCACAGTTGATTGAACACTGAGATGCAGAACCCACGGGTGTCGGGGGCTCACCGTACTGCTCATCGTTCACTGGGCAGTCATAGGGTTCAGTTAGACCCCATAGTTCACACCTGCAGCAGCTCATGAAGCTTTCCACAAGCAGAACCTTCTTACTAATTATTAGATACGATGCAGTCTCTTCTCTACTGGACCAGCTTCCCCGCTCACATAGTAACCATTGGGACTGGTCCCATGGTTCTTAGAGTTAGGGACAGGAGTGATGGGGAGACCAAGGGTCATTTTAGGTGGGACAGAGATGAGGCATAAGTGACATTAAATTGCAAACCCAGAAACGGGGTCATGATCTAGTTCTTATTTAGTTGTGATTTTTGTCAAGTGTAAAATTCTCATGAAGATGCTAATATGATTTTTTTGGTGGGACTGGAGTTTGAACTCAGAGCCTTACAATTGCAAAGCAGGTACACTACTGCTTGAGCCACACCTCCAGTCCATTTTGCTCTGATTATTTTAGAAAAGGGGTTTTGAGAACTATTTGCCTGGGCTGGTCTCGAACCATGATCCTCCTGATCTTGGCCTCCCGAGTAGTTAAGACTATAGGTGTGAGCCACCAGCATCTGGCATGCTAATATGATTTTAATACCTTTCTAATTCTCACTTAGCTCACGTTTAAAATCAGGAGGCAGCAAAAGCCTTCTGCAGGTACCTGAAACCTTATTTACCAAACAGCAATATTCATTTTCAAGAGTTCAAAAAAGGCCAACTAGCTGCAATTTCAGGTGGTCCAACACAGTAAACATACGGTTTTATTTTCTTTGTGCGGGATTTATATTCTTTCCTAATCTTTTATTTATGGTCAAGGAGGCTAGAGGACATACTGTATTCAGTACAGTAATATGAAGTTTACTTTTAAACGTGGTTTTCTTTCAGTAAAGGGAAAAAAAGGCTGGGATATAGGTCACTGGTAGAGCACTTACCTAGTATATGTGAGGTCCAGAAAAAAACTAACCAAAAGACCACAAACTGACTATATAGTACTGAAAATTGAACCCAGGACCTCGTGCAAACCAGACAAGCATTCTACCACTTGAGCCACACCCCCAGCACTTTTATTTGTATTTTGCTTTTGAAATAGGGTCTTGCTAACTGTGCTAGGGCTGACCTCGAGCTCAAGATCCTCCTGCCTCCCCCTATGGAATAGCTGGAATTACAGGTGTGCACCACCATACCCGGCTTCAAGAAACTCATTTGTTCACAAGTCATGAAGATGGTTTCTAAGGCCTTGAGTCCAGGACATGATGGTCAGGACAGACAACCTGGATTAGAACCCTGACTCAGGGCATCTTGGTGTCTTTGGGGCAGGATCCTTTTGTCTGTCAGTCTCAGGATTTCCAGCCATGCAATTGGCATAATTATGTGCACTTACCTCATCCTGCTGTGGAGGGTTCCACAAGACACAGCATGTGGGCCTCCTTGCCCAGGGAGTGGCACCAGGAGGGGCAAAAGAGTGAATCCTAGGAGTGTCGCCAAGTGAAAAGATCTACCCCACCTTTAGGCCAAGGATGGTCCTGCGCCACAGGCACTGTGGACCCTCCTCCAGGTCTGCCTCAGGAGCAAAGCCCTCTGGGAGGTCTTCCAGGACCAGAGCCTCCATGACATCCCTAGGCTCCTTAGGCTTTCACCTCACCTCACAGTGATAACTAATTATTAGCTAATTATTTGGGTAATTGTTTGAATAATGTCTGCATCCCTCCCAGGTAGGTGCTGGGTGCTGAGGGCAGGGATCTTGTCTCAGCTTGCGTACATAGCACCCAGCACAGTGCCTGGTATGCAACATTTGTTTGCAGAAAGAAGAAAGAAAACAAGAGAAAGAGAGAGAGAGAAAAAGATTCATGCATGCATTCATGAGTAGGGTTTCTAGAACCTTGCCTGCAAAAAAAACAAACAAACAAAAAAACAAAACAAGAAAAGAAAAGAAAAAGGCACGGGAAGAGTGTTTAAATGTGAAGGCAGGAATCCTTGGGGACAAATTTTGGGTGGGGCCACCCCAAGGATTAAGGGAAGAACAAGCAAGAAGGTGCTTGAAGGAGCTGAGGGTAGAGAAAGAATGCAACCAGTGAAGCTCTTGACAGACATGTCATCATTTTCTTCTTTGTGGCATCCTTGGTGATGAGTAGGGGAAGATCCCACTTTGCAGAAGAAAGCAACTGTAGGCACTAGGAGCCCAAGGAACTGGCTCTAGGAGACAGCGTCCACATTTGCACCTGTGTCCTTCTGAGCCTCTGGCTCTGAGGGAGGCCAGGTGGCCTTGACTGTGGACCTGAAGAGGGGCCCGCCTCTGAGTTGGGACATCTCTTTGGGGTCAGAGGTGAAGGGACAGGGGTCAGGGGAACCGACCCCAACCTGGAAACCAGGTCACAAGGGACAAGTAGGAAGCTCTCGGGGCTGTCACTGCGAGTGGGCGGGGAGGCAGGGCGCTCGGGTCCCATGCCCCCTCCCTCTGGCCTGACCCTTCCCACCACTGTCGCCAGCGGCCACCGCGCCTCCACCCCCGTGCATACTTACCTCCTGACAAGGCCACAGTCAGGCAGGCGACAGCAGCGGCCAGGAGCCACATGGCAGCTCTGTGATGGGGGGGTGGGGTGGGGTACAGGGTGGGCGGGGCCTGCGGAGAAGTTGAAGGATGTGGGGTTGTTGAAAGCTGACTCTAAACCCCCAAGTTTGAAACTATGAAACGCTGTGCTGCTGCACTTTCTAGGCTTGAACCTCCCCTTCCCCTCATTTACTCCGGGAATCTGCCCCTCCCCCAATTGCATCCTTGCGGCGGGGGGGGGGGCGGGGAAGGAGGTCCTGGAGCAGGTGGAAGGGCAGCGTGCACCACCCCTCCTCTTGCTGCCCCTCGCCCCAAAATGCCGCCCTCTCTTTTCCCATCCCTAGCTGGCATTCGCTGACCCACCTAGCGCCTTCCACCCATTTCCATCTCTGACCCCATTGTTCCCTCTCAGGGCCTGTCCCAGACCCTGGGTGTCCTTCAAAGCTTATCTATCTGCATGCTTCGTCCCCTTCCACCTGTGCAGATTTCTGTCTCTAACTGAGCGTTTGCTGATTCAGCTGTTCTCCCTGGATCCCCTTCTCTGCCCTTCCCCTTCCCTCTCCTCCTCCCTCCCCCTAGCACCCCCCTCCCCCGCCTCACCCCCAGCCCCTACCTGAGTGAGGGTCCCTAGTGAAGAACTTCAGCCTCCAGCTGCCTAGGACTTCAGCCCGACCCATGGCTTTTAACCCCTGAACTCCCTCCCCCAGCGCGCTCTGCATTTCCCGGTGCTAGCTCCCCCTCTCCACCCCCAATGGCTCACAGGCTGTCGACAAGCACCCCCCAGCCTGGGCTTGGCCCTCCGCTTGGGGCGGAGCTTCTAGGACAAGCTGGGACCCAGATCTGGTCCCGCCCAAGCCCAAGTTGAACCCACTATGAACTCTTCAGGCTGCAGGACCCATCCAAGGTCAAGGGAAAGCCCACTTCCTTCTCCAGCCCTCTGCTGCGTCCCCCCCAACTGCGTATCCATCTCTGTGTTCAACCCAGTCTCCATGCCACTTCTGAACCTCCTCTCCCACTCCATGCCTACCCCTTACCCCTAATACACACAGCTTCCAACGGTCATTTTCTACTTTGTTCCCAAATCCCTACATAGCTCCTCACCCATACCCCTCACCCTAATTTCTTCCTTAGCCCCAATTCCATCCCCAGCCATATCTCAAGTGAACCTCGCAATATCATACCCAACTCAGTCAGATTCCTGTTCATAGTCTCCTCTTCAGTCCCTTTTCTTCTGAAATTCAGAGATGCCTATGTGTATCCCATCACTCCCCCCACCCCCCCATACAACGTTCATGCATGACAAGGGATTATTATCAACTAGGTGGATAGAATGTCACGTGCCCTTGGGGACTTGCACTGGGCAGAGTTCCCTGCCTGGGAAGGCAATTTTGGATAAGTAATCTTTTCTGAGTAGAGTCAACAGGAGTGAGGGAACCATGGCCAGAGAGGTGAGGAGGGAGAAGGCTCCTGGGGCTGGGATGGGGGCGTGGGGATGAGGAAGAAGGAAAAGGTGGTGTTTTGGGAATGAGTAGGCGACTTCTGGAACTATGACTGGGTGGGGCCCCCTTGAATTAATCCCAGGGGGTGGAGGGGCAGGATTAAGGATTAAGAAGGACAGAGGTGGGGTCAGAATTTGGAAGCCAGCCAAGGTTGGGCACTAGATGAAGTTTGGAAAGAGCGAGATAGTATTGGTATCGCCATTAAAATGTGGGGTGCAGGTAGATGGGCGAGGGTTCATATGGAAACTGGTGTGGCCCGTATTGGGAGAATTAAGGTTTGAATGTAGGGATCAAATCTAATATTAAAAGATACTGTTTTTTAAAAGGTCTCCAAATTTGGAATCTTTGACATATACAAAATGAACCTGTCAAAGATGTTACTTTGTCAGGCCTCATGGTGCACATCTGTAATCCCAGTACTTGGGAGAGGGAGGTAAGATCCAGAGTTTGAATCAAGCCTGGGCTACATAGCCAGACCCTGTTTTCAAAAAAAAAATAATTTTGATTCATTCATAAATAACACAGCAGCAGTAAAATGTTACAAAGAACCACACAGAGAGGAAATAAATGCTGAAATAAAATTGCAAATAGATGCAGAAGTGGCTTATTCCACATGGTAGTGGTATTAGAGGGTATAGGGACATGGTATGAATTGTTTCCATTTGACAAAATTCATTTGCATGGCTTTGGACAAGAACTATTTGCATGGCTATCAGTTATCTACACTTTAAAGCTGTAAATTACCTAAAGATAGCAAAAAGATGCATCAGCCCCCAAATTAGATAACCTATCTACTTTTCCATTTAAAGACACCTGTTGGTTCTATTTCAAAGTCTTTTACTAGGAAGAGAAGTTTGGTTTAATATAGGAACTGAAGAGGGTCTGTTAGGGTTATGATGTCTGTTAAGATTCCTGGGAATACAGTGAGTTTGGGGAAAACAGAGATGATGATGGGTTTAGAGTTCTAAGTGGTACCAGAGTTGGCATGTGGGGTAGGATTGGGTTGTAAGCAAGAGGAATATGAAGGTAAGTTTGCTGATGGGGGCTGTTGAGCTGAGGCTGGATTTAGGACCAATGTGGAGGAATTGGATGGGTGGGTGAATGTTGGTCTTGAGGATTAGATGTGAGGTTGAATGTCTGTGTTGGAGTAGGTCTTGATGGGGGGCTGGGTTATAGCCATGAGCTCCTGTCAAGGTGACAGAAAGGTTAATGTCCTTCACCACCCTTGGCTTCCTCTGCCTCCCAGGGCAGGGTTCAGAGTGGGTGCGAGTTCATTCCTTTTGAGTGGAGTTGGGTTCAGGTGGAGTGGCTAGGGGGAGCATGCCAGGTAATGTGAGGTGACAGACTTGTGTGGGCAGTTGGGTACTTGTGCCCTCTTGTGGCCTGGCCCATGCTTCCAGAAAAGCTTTCTGGAAGGCTTGGGAGGGGCTGGAGCCTGGAGTGGGGGTGAGTGGTTTTGCCATTTGCTGAGAGGTGAGGGTTAGGTCAATGTGCATGTTAGGGGTTATGATTGGCTGGGACTCAGGTTGGCCGGTGTGCCTTGAAGTGAGGTCACGCACCCACCGAGGGCTGGGTGCCTTCCCTTCCACCCCCTCACTTGATTAACAAGGCAATAAGGAGCCCACGGCTGAAAGTCACACGTAGACTGGACCAAGTCCAGGTGTAATCTTTCATATGTCAATGTCTTTATTCCTGCAGAGAGCAGGGCTGGAGACAGAAGAAAGGAAGAGAAAAAGAGAAGAAGGGTGGATGTTCCTAGTGGTTCATAGAGCAACCCCTAAAGATAGACTGCCTGAGTTCAGATGAGGTGCCACTCTGCCTCAGTTTCCCCACTTGGAAAGTGATCCTATTCATGGCACCGACCTCATGCATGAGTGAGTTAACCTCTAGAGGAGCTTAGAAGAGACCCTACTGTGGACCAAGCACCATGATGTGCTTGTTAAAGGAGTAAAGCCAGAGAGGAGGCAGCCCAAAGTTTCCAGAGGAGGCCCCACCCTTGTTTGGCTTCAAAATGGGACTCTTTGTCAAGCAGAAACTGGAAGTTCTGGTTGGAATCACTAGCTGGGAGGAGAAAGTCGGTCCCACACCCAGGCCTGGAGGAGGGCCCCAATGTAAACACGAAAGGAGGGGGAGACAGAGAAAAACACCAAGAGACAAATACACAGAGGACAGAGAAGACACACACACACACACACACACACACACACACACACACAGACAAAAGCCCAAAAACGCACAGGTAGACAGGTTGGAATACACAGGGAGAACCCGGACTTGGCCAAGGGTGGATGAACAGGATTTCGAGAGACATGGATTAGTCTCTGGAGCTGGGTCCACTTATTCAGAGTCCCCGTTCCCATCCATCCACGCTGTGACAACATCCACTCCTCATTGTACTCACCATACGAACAGCAAAAGTTACAAAGGCTAGTCTTGTCACCTACCTGCATCTTTCCTCTTGTCTCTTTCCTCTAGACAAACACTCTGCACTGCAGCTAAGACAGACGCTTACTTGGCTCAAGATCCCATCCCTGAGACACTTTCCAACCAGCATTTATCTATCTTGCCAGTATCATAAATTTTTTCTTCCCCTGTGAGTACACCATTAATATACACGCTATGATTTCTCCCATCTTACATTAAAAGAACATAAATAGAAAAAAACCCCAACCCCGATGTTCTCCGTTCACTCCTGGTCTACCTTTTGCACCCCTTGATTGGGTTTCTTCTCTTAAGAAACTGGCTATACTTCTGGTCTGCAATTCCTCTCTCCATTCTTTCTGGAGCCCACTCCACCAACTGTACCCCCAAGAAGGACACCAGCGATCTCCATGTTGCTGAATCCAAAGGCCGACTCTTCAGGGTTCATCTTACTTGAGTTTCAGCAGCATTAGACAAAGCGGATCACTCTCTGTTCCTTCAAATAATTCCTTTCCTTGACTTCTAGGACACTGAGGTCTCCTGGTTTTTCCTCATATCTCACTGATGTTCTTCATCCATGTCGGGCACTGGCCTCACTCATCTCCCCAGTCTCTTCATGGTGGAGCACCCCAGGGCTTGGCCCTTGGACCTCCTCTCTCCTCTGTCTACACTCACTCCCTTGGTGATCTCATCTGGTCTCATGGCTTTAAATACCATCTACATGCTGACGACTCCCAAATTTAATGTCTCCAGCCAGACCTTGCTCTTGAACTTTCGATTCTCCATCTGTCTGCCTACTCAACATCTCCGTGTTCGAAACCAAACTCCCAGTCTCCACCCTACTCCACCTTCTAGACATGCTTCTTTTGTAGTCTTGGTTTTCTCAGTAAGAGGGTCACCTCATCCTTTCATTATTGGACCAAAACCTTGGTCTGACTCCTGAATTCCTTATTTTTTTTCTTTACATCAAACATCCACTTTGTTACCAAACCCTTTAAAATAGATCCAGCATCTGACCATTTCTTATTATCTTCCATCCTTGTCCCTATCCTCCCCACAGCCACTGTCCTATCTCAGCTGGATTCTTGTAAATTTCCTCTCTGG